CTTGTGACCTTGACATACTTTTAATATCAGCTGATCAGACTGGTCTGTAGTTTCTTAGTAGGTACACTAGACAAGTTATGTCATGTATTTATGTACTAGGTAGGTATATATGTTTAGGTATTTGAAATTTTTTAGCTATTACTTTTGCATTTACGTGTTTTTTGTCCTAATTCCCTAAGACCAAGGCAACATATTCTGTGCCCAAAGTTTGTCTAGAATAAATCTCTTTAAGCGATAAGGCCGTCTTTGCGCATTAAGTTTTCCGGCTGTCAAGTGTGCTATCCGAAGGGATTATTATTAGGCACAATCTTCACAGAGAAACGTGAGACGCAAGATGGCATCTGTCAAACAAGTGATCGTCGGAGACGAGCGACATCGCGACGCTTAAAACCGTTTCCATATAAAATGCATGAAATAAAAGAGACAAGCTACACACGTGAGACGCGCGTCGCATCGATAACGATTGACGATCGCTTGTCTGACAGATGTCATGTTGCGCGTCGCGTCGTGCGTCTATTCTGTAAAGCTTGTCCCTTACAGCTGTTTGAAATAGTTTTATAATCTTTCTTTCTACAAATAAGGAAGAAATAAAACAAAATTTTACAACACAATAAAGTATAAACCTACTTCCACGAATGCCGAAGTTTGCCCGTTTGTCTGTTTGTTACATAAACATCAACAAACACCTAAACATGGGAGCAGTTAAAATTTCAGTCAAGTGGTTGGAGGAAGTGGTTTTGTTAGGGTTGGCAAGCTTCAATACATAGTATAAAATGAAGTCGATTTTTGCGTGTCTATTTCTGTCTGCCAACGGATTTTGGTGTGGTTTTTTTAAATGGATAAAGATATATACTGAGTGTTACAAAGCAACCAATAAAGCTGAAAGGAGGTCAAGGTACTTATGAAACTGAACAACTTTCCCCATGGAATATGGGTCGAATAATGAAAAAAAAATTGGACTTTCCATACAAAATGAACTCACTTTGTATGGGAGATTTATTGGTTGTTTTGTTACACGTTGTATAATTCAGGATTACATTTTATGTATAATACACATCTTACTCCTTATAAGATAATGCCTTTTTTACGCGGGAAAACCAGTTTCAGCGGGTGAATCCGCTAACGGGCCGCTAGTTAAAACTAAATTCCAGCAATCGAATATTTGTATTTTCTTCCTTCTTTCTTTCTTTCTTATTTACGGTTTGTGTAAAATTTATGGTTTATAATTCTTATCTAAATTCACAAGTCAAAATAAAGATGAGGCAGCCCTATACAGACGAGACATCAAAGGTTTAGTGTGGCCACTAGCTTAACGAGACCGAATGCAGTCACAATTAACCAAATTGATGCAAGCATGCCGTGCCGTGTGATGCCGGCTTAGAATAGCATTACCCCAATACTACCCGTGGGTAGCGTAAAAAGCGACTAAGGGATGATCCAGGGAATTAAACATCTTGCACTGCGTTCGCAAATCCGCCTGCGTAGCGTGGTGAGTATGGCAACCCCCCTAGGTCGTAGTTACTTATTGCAAGTTGATATGGCCACATAATGACGAACAAAAATAGGAAAACTAGGATGAAATTTTACTAGTGGCCGATAGCGAAAATGCAGGATAGTCTGGTGATAAGGATCAACTTTTTCCAACGACCGACATTCCATAAGTCGAAGTATCAAAAATAAAAGGTCCTCCCATACAAAACTGCCGATCAGCTGATTTGAGTTACTGTGGATGGTCCATTTTATTTTTCATATTTCCATGGGGAAAGTTGTTGCTTATAATAAGCCGGTCCTCACAGACACTCTAAGCAGGCCCGGTCCTGCATTTTCGCTATCGGCGACTCGCTAGTAACATCCTATATGTTGACCCTCCTTAAAACATTGATAGCTCTGCTGATAAAATTACTTTTATGGGATAAAACTAAACAACTTTACCAATGAGACATAATTCGAAAAATGTAAAACCAACTTAGACCCCATACACAATCGCACACTGGCTCTTTTTCGAAGTATGTTAAAATAAAAATATATCTAAGTAAAAGACAGAATACATTCCAAACCCACGAGTGGATTTTGTTGTACTATGCCACTATTCAGTTGACAGTCGCTCTTAACAGCTGACGGGCGGGCGCAGCACAATTAAGACTCATTGATGCAACTATGGGGGTCAACGAACTTCTATTCCTGGTGGTGGCAAAGAGTAAAACACAGAAGCGTCATACCACCGTTATCTCTACGTTACCCAAATACATAAGTCTCTTATGTCACTATTTAGTTGACATTTTCTAAGACTAAAATACAGAAGCGCCATGACCCTATTTCTCTACGTTAGCTTTATCATGTTAAAGGTAAGTCCATATGTCACTATTCAGTTGACAGTCGCTCTTAACAGCTGACGGCGGGCGCAGCACAATTAAGACTCATTGATGGAACTATGTGCCGTGTGATGCCGGCTTAGAATAGCATCACCCCAATTCTACCGGTGGGTGTCGTACAAAGCGACTAAGGGATACTTATCCAGGGAATGGGCAGCAGCGTTCCCTGTCAATGCAACATCATGCACTGCGCTCGCCAATCCGCCTGCCAAGCGTGGCGAGTATGGCAATACCCCCCGATAGGGGGAGGCCTATATCCAGCAGTGGACTGTTGTGGCTGTTATGGTATGGTTATGGATGGAACTATGGGGGTCAACGAACTTCTATTCCTGATGGCGGCAAAGAGTAAAACACAGAAGCGCCATGACGCCTTTTTCTCTACGTTAGCCTTATTATGTATATTATTATGTACCTATTACAAATAACTTTCAAATACAAGTCTCTATGTTACTAATCAGTTGACTGCTCAGGCGGACTCATCCATAATATACGCGTTAATACTAAAATCATTAATTAGCGCTGCAGTCGCTTTCACCACGAGTTGTCCACGTAGTCTGCATATTTTTTACCACTGTAATGTCAGCAACACTCAACTGTCATTCCATTGCCACTGTGATTTTCTGTACTAAAAACTGTCAGCAGAATACGAAACTACCAATACCTTTCAACTGACATGTCATCGACACACAACTGAACAGATTTTCATTTAGCAGACTTCGGCCCAAACGTGCTAGCTGAGAGCGGAAGTAACGCACGGTAGGCTCGACTGATACGCACTCAACACGCGTAGCTGAAGCAACCCTTCTGCGATATTGGGATTTAATCTTTGAAGTAACGCCGTAGCGTGACGATGGAATGATAGCAAGAATGTGCGTTTTACTTGTATTTTATTTGGCCGCCAGTAAAATCTATTTCTACGGTTTTCTTTGAAACTGCCGCTTTTGAATTATTTAAGGTTCGGCCATTTCTGAGATTAAATATACACACATAACATCATCCCAAATAAGTTAACAAATAATTTGTTAAAACACAAAATCATGTAGCAAAAGGATTTGGCTATGGTTAAGAACGGCTGCCTGCCTGACGTCAACCCTCTTTGTGAAGTGAATAAATACTATTGCAGCTGGTATCACCGCCCCCACGCGGGTGACCATAGTCGGTAGATATTCAAATTAGGTCAAAAATTCTACCCTGAGTGGATTAGGGGTCTCAGTTCCTTAGTGGCCTCTTACGACAGCACACGGCAAGGCCCTCTTAAGATAAAAAGACATTTATTTGTCTTGGTATGAATGAATAATGCTATAAAACACTTCATGTGCAGTTTTCTCATAATTCCCATTTTGTTTTCTCCATCGTGACATACCGAACACATTGCTTTAACTGCCCATAAAATTAAGTTACTGTTTAGGGTTCCGTACGTAAAATCACCATCATTATTTACAGCTCTGAGACTTGCTGGTCGAAGGTCTCCGTAGACCGCAACTTTGGGCCGCCTGCATTCCAACGGTTGCCCGCATCCCTTACACAAATGGCCGTTTGTTGCAGTTTTCTTTGCAAGACTGCCACTCCTGAACTTCCCAAACTCATCGAACATTAGTTTAGCGATTTTCGTGCTACCTATATGCGAATTCAGCTCACCATTTCGTAGGCCGTATGTCGGTTGTCCCTTTCGTTGATTTACGGATATTATTTGTTTCTTGTCATATCACGTATCGCACGTAAATTAGAATGGCCCTATGAGTTTAAGTGTAAGACAAGTATAAGTTACAGCTAGTAAACAGAGCGGGACTGATATTAGAGACTCTCAAGGCTTTGACTACTGGCCTATTTTACAGTAAGACGTGAGAGGGAAAGGCACGAAAATTGATAGTAAGTAGTTCGTCCAACTAATATCTGACACATAAATTGAAAATTAGAAAATTGAAAAATTCACTAGCGACTGCCGGGACTTGAACCCGGGACTGTGGGTCACCGTTCCGCCGCTCTGCCACAGAGCTACGGGCGCTTAGCGGACCTTGGTGAATTTTCAACCTCTTGATGCTCGTATCGACGCGACGATTATCTGACTGACAGAACCTTAATCACAAATTATAGACTGGCTCTTACCAATTTTTTGGGCAGTAAAGCCGCAAACCGTTACGTAGCCACTACTGTTTCATATAAGCTATGCGCATTATGTATGTGAACGAATACGTGCAAAAACCTAGTAAGTATGACTCACAAAAATGTACATACGTATATCACACCTATATTCCTTGCGGGGAAGGCAGAGCGTAAACGGCTGTAATAAACGGAAAATTCCACCACGTATGACAAAAGTTTGAGTCATTTAGTAGACTGCGTATCACACCATAGTGACAGGTTTTCAACCATTGCTACTATACAACTACTTTAACAGCCACACAATAAAGTCCACTGCTGAACATATAAGCGGTTGGTGAGCGCAATGCAAGATGTTGCAATGCGATTGCGAAATTCATCCAGGGATTGAACCAGCGGATGAATTTATCCCTTAGTCGCCTCTTACGACACCTACGGGAAAGATTAGTAATAGTAGATAAAGATTAATAATAATAGAACAGTCTGTTCATTGAAAACTATCCCGGTAGATGGATCTTGCCAGAGTAAGCCGCAGTAGCCCAGTTGGTAGAGGCGTCGGCAGTACAGATTCTGAAAGTACCAGGTTCAAATCCTGCCTGCGGCGGAAAATTTTGCATGATTTCCGATCGATTCGATTTGCCCACCACGAAATTAATTTGCCGTGTGGTGCTGGCTTAGAATAGCATCACCCCATATCTTTCCCGTGGGTGTCGTAAGAAGCGACTAAGGGATTTGAGAGTTGATGTATATTGCAATTTTAGGCGACAGGCTGAAAACCTGTCACTATGATATCTCAAACTATTGTCAGACGTCGTGTAAATAGACATTTTTTACAACCGTTTACCGAAATAGAGATACTTACTTTGTTTACCCTCTGCCTAGAGATATATAGGGTGTATTTTTATTAGTGGCGGATCCGTTAAGGGTGTGTTCTGTCAATGAAACTGAACAACTTTCCCCAAGAAACGTAGGTCGAAATACGAAAAAAAATTTTGGTCTTCCCATACTAAGTGTGTTGGCCGGCCGGGTCAATTTGTATGGGAGGGCCAAATTTTTTTTTCATTGTTCGACCTATGTTCCTTGGGGAAAGTTGTTCAGTTTCATTGATAGAACACACCCTTAACGGATCCGCCACTAATAAAAGTACACCCTATATGTATTTATGTGTGTACCATGACAAATCATGGCATAAATAAGAGCCTGCGCACATATGAGACACGATAGTCTCACGACTGTTTTGTCGGCCCCCGACAAAACAATCGCAAAACTATCGTGTCGTCCACCCCGCGCACACCACGACGCGATAGTTGCGCGATAGTCGGCCGACTGTTTTGCGATAGTTTTGTCGCGACACACACTGGTTCCATTTAATAAAAAAGTGGACATAAAGGAATTTTGGGTTGAAGGTCAACGGATGCGGCTGATTTTTTTTTGGTGACAGCTGATGCAATTACAACTTACAAGTATCTTTTATACTTGTTATTTTTTTTTTCAAAAATGATTTATCTACAGAGATAAAAAATAATGAATTATTATTTGTATGGAAGAAGTCATAATTTTGGCTATTTCTTTCAAGATTCACACGTATTTAAAATAAACTTAAGACAGCTTATATGGGGGGCTTTATGCTCACAACTTTGTCATAGACGCTGAACTGCGCATTTTTGCTTTGATTACAGGCGCTTTAAATATTTTGTCACCGGATGGGCATAATTTTTTTTGTAGAAAGCTGACGCAATTACAAGTCACTTTTATAGATGACGTTTTTTTCAAATATGCCTTAACTATAGTGTTAAAAAATATTGAAGTATTCTTTTATGCAAAAATGCGCAGTTGAGTATCTATGACAAAGTTGTGAGCAATTAGCCCCGCTACAAGCTGCGCTAAGTTTTATTTTAAATACATGTAAATCTTGGAAGTAATAGTCAAAATTATGACTTCTTCCATGCAAATAATAATTCATTATTTTTTATCTCTGTAGATGAGGCATATTTGAAAAAAAGAACAACATGTATAAAAGATACTTGTGATTGCAATAGCTGTCCACAAAAAAAAATCAGCCACATCCGTTGACCTTCGACCTGAAATTCCATGTCCACTTTTTTATTAAATGGAACCAGTGTGCGACAATGCAACACATGACAATATTTCATCAGTGGTAAAAAACATTATAATTTACTATTCTACTGAATCGTACTTTTGATAAACGTGATAATAAAAATGATGCTTGATTCTTTATTAATATCCAGATAGCACAAATTATTGCAAAAAAGATTTTCTTGTAAAATGTCTCCACGACTAGAGCGCGTGGCTGACAACTTGACATTACAATGATACACAGTTGTTTAAAATGATCCCCAAATACTTGGCAGTAGTTGTGATAACTTTTTGATGGACTTTAAAACCTCATCATTTCTTGGGGTGCAAGGGCTCACCTGGAATGCCACGCCTACCCCGCAAGGGATATAGGAATGACGTCCATTACGGCATTTACGGCAAGATATTTAATTTTTAGGGTTTCGTACCTCAAACTACGTACACAAATCTTAGTACTACAAAAAACGTACTACAAATCTTAGTACGGAACCCTCGGTAGGCGAGTCCAACTCGCACCTGGGTGTTTTTTTTTCATATATCGACTTAATTATGTTCCTTATATTATGTATATTGAATATTCCCTCCTCACAATCCTCATAATGCTGTCACATATTATCTATCATCTAAACAGAAAAATAAACTAAAAATTTTGGAACGTGTTCTTATAATCACACTACCTGTCGTCAAACATTTTTTTTCGAACATATTTTATGTACCTACAGACTTTAGACCCTCTAAATTCTAGTGTCGGCATTGTCACACTGTGCATTATTATGTTGTGCATTATAAGGTCTCGGCCGACTCGGCACTGGTGATGTGAAAAATAATCGATTATCGAAAAAAACGATGCAAAAATTAGAAAATAATCGTTTTTTTAATCGATTTTGCAATTCTCATTATCGATCGATATAGAGCATGGGACATTTTACTGTGAAAGGTGGTATACCTAAACTGCACGATGATAAAAAAAAACAATTTCAGCTTCAGGCGATAATACATGTGCCAATCGATAGTACACAAAAATACAAACAGAAAATACTTTGCTAAAATGTCGTAACATGTACGGCTTCTAAGAAAAAAAAATGTATGAATTCTGGTCACATGTGATAAATTATGTTCTAGTCGATAGTACACAAAAATACAAACAAAAAATACTCTTTGGTAAAATGTCGTAACATGTACGGTTTCTGAGAAAATGAGAGTATAAAAATTCATAGAAAATTAACATTAACTCTCATTTTCTTAGAAACCGTACATGTTACGACATTTTACCAAAGAGTATTTTCTGTTTGTATTTTTGTGTACTATCAATATTGGCTCATATTTTATCGCCAAAATTGTTTACTTTCTTGATTTCTAACAATAGGTATACCCCTAAGGTTCCTTTCCTTGCCCTTTTCGAACTTTTGAGTAAAAAATAATCGATTATTTTTCTGACACTAACGAATTATTTTAATATTGTGTATAAGTATTAATAAAAATACACGACACGTTTTATCAGGACCCTTGTAATATTTTGTTTAAACGGCATTTTTTTTACTTCTATCAAAAATTATATGATAAAAATAAAAATTCGTAAAATTAAGTAATATACGGAAAAATCGATTATTTTCAATATCGATGTTTTCTTTGAATAAAATCAATTTATTTATAATAGATTTTTTGGATGACTTAAAATAATCGATTATTGGTAATTTGATTTTTTTGTTACTAAAGTCGCATCCCTACTCAAAGGAAGCCGCCAGCCGCCCGATCACCGGCGGATCCAGCCTTGACTCAGGGGGGGGTCACAGACAATTTTATAGGTACTATAGGTAATTTTTGACCCAACTGCCTTAGAAGGAGGGTTATGTTGTTCGAGACCCTGTATGTTTGTATGTATGTGAAAAGAAAATTCCTTTTCACGGGATTTAGTCGATTTTATCGATATTTTTTTTCTCGCAAAACGGGTTATTACGTCATCTGCGTCAATGGAAAGTTTTTTGTGGGCAGTGGGGGCGGCGCGCGAAAATTCAAATTCCCTATGCATTCGTTCCCAACCGAATAACGTGCTTCACACGCTTGTTCCCGCTTATGTAATGGAATGGAATCCTGTGTTTGACATTGACAAAAAATACATTGTCATTATGTAAACAATAATATAACCACTTAGTCAAGGTCCTAGGCCCAGCTCAGGAGGGGTCGACCCCATGACCCTCCCCCTGGATCCGCCACTGCGCCCGATAGTTGCGTCGCGCGATTATCGCGGTCGGGCCCCGACCTTTTTGTCGTGGCGAAGTCGTGTCGCGTATGTGCGCACCTAAGTACTATTTCATTAGGAGGACGATAGTCGTGAGACTATCGTGTCTCATATGTGCGCAGGGCCTAAATGGCAGTCAATGATATTATATGGATGGCAGTCATCACGAAAAATCTACATCTACCCATAGCCTCCTAGCCTCTACCTCGTACCGTTAAGGTCTATTTTTGCACTGCACGTCATTTTGTATGTAGCTTGCGGTTACCTCCACGTTCCCAGGCAATTAAATCATTAGTGCAGAACAATCACTGCCTATTGACAATCGTTGAGCAATCATCACTAGCGTCGACTCTGGCGTAAGCTATCTTTATTTTTTTTTTCGTGTGGGACACCGAGTCGTTCAACGACCCGATGAACCCTGGTGTCAGAGTTTTTTTTTTTCAACCGTCTACTGCAAGTAGCAGGCCTCTGACATGGTTGTGTAACGACAGCCATCATAGACAGCAACCGGGACCGACGGCTTAACGTGCCCATCCGAAGCACGGAACCATCTTACTTGCGGACAATCAGGTGGTTCAGCCTGCAATATCCTAACCAGACTGGGAACAAACTCACAAAGTGATAAATATCAACTTTGTGAGTGACCCCACCGGGAATTGAACCCGTGGCGCAGTGGTTAGTATGCCTGCCTGCCACGCAAAGGCGTAAGCTATAATACCTCATAGTAACATGGCTACTTTTTATTAGTCCTATCTTACTTAGCCTGCATCGTCCCGCTGTGGGGCAAAGGCCTCGCTTTTCTCTTTCCACTCGTTTCTGCTCAGAGCCTCCAAGTTCCAATCTTTACTAAAGGCTCGTAGAATATATTTTTTTTGTACAGAAAGGAAAAACGGGTAGCAGCAAGAGGAACTGCTGGGCGGGTCGCTAATAATTTCATCACACCAGTTTATTCAAGTCTTCTACTGGCTGGATGCAGGCTTCCCCTAAAATCTGTTATTATTTTCCGGAAACAAATCCGCCGGCTGTGAATTCCAATCTTTAGCCGTTCGCATGATGAAATTTTAAGCAAATAAGAGGTATATCAACAACATAAGGGTAGGATCACCCTCGGAGGGGTACGCCAAGCAGTGAGTTGCTATAGGCTGATGCCATCTTCGTTTTCTAAAAAATAGGTTGAGCAGACCCCAACTGATTGAGACTAGGGCAGGAAGATGATTGGGAGGTAAAAATTTGTTTGTCATATTTTATGTCACCGATGTTCGTTAGAT